GTCACCCAGCAACCACCTGCATTGACCAGCTATGTTATGAATCATTTACATATCTAAGTAGTGAGATAAATTCTACTGAAAAGGACCTGAAAATTCGCATAGATAAAGCCTTAGTCGCATTGAATAAAATGGATGTAATTTGGAAATCTGATCTACAAGACAACCTCAAACGGAAATTATTTTCGAGCCACTGTAGAGGCGGTTTTAATGTATGTTGTCACTGCATGAACATAAAATAAAACCCTACAATCTAAGGTCGATGAGACCTACACTCGATGGTGAGAGATATATTTAACATCTGGAAATAACATCCAACTAAATCACAGCTCTATCGACCCAGCTCAGATATTTCTAAAATCTCAATTTAGAACACTGCTGGTGAGCAAAACAAGAACCAGCAAGTAATCTACTGCTCTGGACACCTAGCCAAGGGGCAAGAAGGATTGGTTTCCCACCTTTATTATGACATAGAATACCTCCCTAATGATCTTCCTATCCTTATGCTGGACCGTGATAGTTGGCGTGGTAGCCTCATCAATGTTCGAGCTAACACGACGGAATAAAATTGTCCCGTTTACAGTTCATTTTAAGAATTTAAGTTCAAATCGAGATTCTTTTGCGTCACTGTAGAGGCGCTTTTAATGTATGGTGCCACTGATAGGACATTAACTAAAATCCTTAATAGAACCTACACTCGGATGTTGAGATCTATACTTAACATCACCCGGAGACAATATCCAACTAAGTCACAACTCTAAAGACTGTGATGGTTGGCGTTATAAATTAATAAATGTCCGGGCTAACTCGATGGAATAAGAAAAATAATTTTCCTTTCTCTCCACTAAAGTCTTCTCATTCTCTTTCACTGGCAGTAACCTCTTATGTTTTAGTGGCATTATCGCCTTGATTGGTGTGATTTGATTAAAAAATAGGATTAAATATTGACAATAATAAGCATTCTTGATGAATGATGCAAAATACAAGGGAGACTGATAATTGAATCTTTGCTGTAATGATTTTCCGTAGTTAAATGGTAAAGTACTCTTGGTATGAATGAGGTTTAATCAGATTATAATGGAATACCTATTTATTGATAGACGTAGATATAAATTCCAATGTAATGATTATGCTTCAATTCCATGAACTTATTCCATGAAAAATATTATAACCGTTCCCAAAGATTGAAGAAATAAAATTTCTAATAATTTTTCGATTAAACTTAAAATCCGTTAATTTTTTTTCGAGTTTCGACAGAACGGATCATCTTTCCTTTAAAACGCATTTTAAATATAATGATTTAATATAATTCGCAATTATTATTTATTTTATTTCATTTATTATATATATGTATTATAATTATTATATTTATTTGAACTTATATATGTATTATTTTTTATTATTTATTTCAATTTTTTCCACAATTACCTTTTTTTTTTGAATTAGATTTTTTTTTTACAACTAAACTGAAGATCGTCTGCGTTATTTTTACTTTCTATTTTTTACTTACTTAAATTTGTATTTATCAACTTTGCATTTTTTACTCACGTTAATTTTTATCAATTGATAGTTTAAGTGTTAGTGCTGTCAAAAAGACTGCATAAATGATTTGATTTTATGTTAAATAATGACGTCATAATCTCCGAGTATTTGGGGCATAAAAACCCAATTTATAATTTCATTTTTGTTTCTGCAATCTTTTTTTTTTTTAAATTAACAAACTTTTCGATATTCGTGTTTGCCTATATACATTTTTTCGTAATTTCTCTTGCTTTCTAGCGTTCTTATTTTACCTAAAATTTTATATACTTAAAAAGAAAAACCGTTCATCTTTTGAAGGTTCTAAATGTAGTTTATAGACGTAAACTATGTTCGAAATGTAGTCATAGCCGGGGGTAATAGTGGGGGAAAGCCCCCACTCTCTATAAAATGCTTCTGTGGCATGTGTCTCAAATAGACTGTGACAAATAAGTCCAGCTCCAAGCAGGAGAATGCGGAAAACTGGCGCGTCATAACCAGCTGCCTCGGAAACTATTATTTTAAAACTCTGCTGCCTTGCGGTTATATCCAAGATACGAAAGAGACTATGGTAGTAAATCCAAACAGAAAACCCAGACTAGTCCCCCGAAGGCGGTTGGATGTCAACGCTGACAACTTTCCGGCAACTCCAGCGACCAAGACGGCTCCAAATGTAATAACTTTTATTCCTTTGCATCTTGCCGCAACGGCCGAGAGGTGGTGGGGGAGCTACGTAGTCTGCGCAACGCGTATACCATCGCCAGTCTAGAAGTAATATTCTGCTGCTTTGTAGGACTCTTTAATTTCTGAGAGGAGAGACGGGGTAACGTTAACATCCCCGCTGCAAAAAGAAAAACTGTTCTCTATTGAATGTCACCATGAACCACAATTGTGAGTTAAAGTAGGGGAGTGGTGATCATATCGGCGGCGCAAGTTTCGCTAAGTGAATAAATAAATGAAAGAAATATAATTCCAAAGCGGCTGACTTTAAAATAATCGTTTATATACAGAATATAAGTATTGATCTTATCATAAGATTTTGCACTTAATAAGAGAATTAATTAGTTTAAAAATAATTATGAGTTAACTGTAGGTTCGAGGAACTTTTGATGTCATATCAAGTAACTGTTTCGAATTATTCTCCTCGAAAAATGAAAAAAATATGAGAATAAAATATGGCATTGCTTAGGGCTTGTCAAAGAGTGAAAATTTTCTTCATATAAAATGATTCTTCATCTTCTACGTGACGTGCCACTTCACGACGTAGGTGATTATATGATACTATTTGTTGTTACCTCGGTAAAATAAAACCTAAGAAATGTTCTTATCAACAGAATGTATTTTGTGCTGAGAGACATTGAAACGAGAAGGGTTAATACCAAAAAACTGTGGGAAGAATTGAGGATTTAATTCACACTTAAAAGACTTGAACTGTGTGTCGAACAGGTTGAACAATGGAAAAGTGGTCCAGATTTAAGGGGTAATGTTGAATGGCATGCAGCTGAAAATGCAAACTGTAAAGCGAAATTCTCATTTTTTGTAAAGAACGAATTTGGAGTTGATTCCCCTGTTCGAAAGTTGAGTCGGAATACCAGGAGGGGGTAGATAAAGCACCCACGCTCCCTGAGGAGATTTAGTGAGAGGTAATAATATGAAAGAGTTGAAGAAGGGAATTTATCAGAATTATCGAATTCTTTTACTTCGCCAGTTTGGGCGAATGTCCATAAATACGAATGCGCGAAGCGAATTCGGCAGAAGAGAGAAGAGAGACAGGAGAGACGGAGACGAGACCAGAGACAAGAGAGAGAGAGAGATAGAAATCTGCCGATGAAAGCCTCCGACTTCAGCCTTGTGCCAAACTTGTTGCCAGGTCAACAAGAATATCACTTCCGATTTAGACGCGGGTTGGGCTGATAATTAATTGCATACAAACTCAATTATTGCACGGAGGACTGATATAAAAACAATATTTACTTTTGTTTAATTTATTCCCGTCCTGAGTATGACGGTAAACTACATCCGCGTCCAGGGTAAGACAATAAACTACATCCAACAGCAAGGCCTCTGATCAGGAGGCTTTGAGGAGCGACAAACCACCTTGTAATTGCTGGTGTTCTCAGGTCCACCCTGACCCGGGGTGGTAGCACCTGTTAGGGTCCCAACTTTGGGCAAATAGTTAAACCAGAAACTGACGTAAAAAAGCATTATAAAAGTGTAAAAATAGGTTTTAATACCAGAAATACTTTGTAAAAATTATTACCAGGAATAAATTTTTGAAGAAAAATAAATAATATTACCAGCTATACGTTTCTGAAAAAATAATATTACCAGCTATACATTTTTGAGGAAAAAATATTAACAGAAATAGATTTTTGACAAAACAAAAATATTACCAAGAAAAAAAAGTTGACGGCATTAAATGACCCATTGAGGTTGATATGCCGTAAAACAAAACAAACCAAACCAAACTTAATTTATTCAAGTGTTATTTTTTTTCCTGTATGTCTTCGCCCTGATAGGACCCACCCAACACGTAGATCCCTGCGACGATTCGATCTTGGCTGCCTTATGATCAACCTTAAATCACAACGTGGGATAAGGTTAGCTCGGGATTGAAGCGGTCACTTCAGCGACCAACCACGGTGTTGGAAATATTGGATGACCGGGGAAGGTGTTGCACGATTAATATTATGGCGCTCCAAAGCTTCTTGTCCTGTGTAGCCGCTAATAATGTTTGTATTTTTGCCATATCTCCTAAACAATGTTTTGCCAACCATTCACACAAGCTCGTTAGGTAGGGTGTGAGCTGTGTTTTTTATGTCCCCCTTGTCCTGTGAGTGTTAAATTTTCCAAGCCTTCTTTCCTCATTATGTGACGTAGAAATCGCAACTATCTCTTTCTGGTGCGTAATATAAGTATCCTTTTTGCTTCCATTTTATTTAAAGCTTTGCCCACATTATGGAAAATGTACAGATGGTTTTAATGATTCACGTCTGGAAGTCTGGAAAATCGAATTACAGAGAATCGACCAGAGTACTAGATTTATGCCATTAAGCTGAGTTCCGAGGCTGAGCACGAGACCGTATGCAGTTTTTTCTATTTATCTTCCTGCAAAACACTGATTGTAAGACAGTTCCCTTCTGATGAAGAACTCGAAACCATGTAATACTACAGAAGGATGCTGAGAAGTCTCTGAAAAGAACACGTGACCAAGATCTAAAAAAGGCAAGAACTAGGTTCATTGACTAATTTGTTTTTTTTACGATGTATCAACCTAGCAGGTTATGTAAAGCCAGAACATGTTTTCGAATTGTTATAAATTTCTGAAGATAATAATAATTTACTGACACAAGTTCGACTATTTAACCCATAGCTGGGGGAGAAGAAGCACGTAAGTGAATATAACAAACCCGACTAGAATTAGAACTCTACTCTCCAATTTCCAATTCCGGTCCCTTATTCAATCTATCACTCGCAGATACAAGCTTACAGCACCTGGTATTCCGAAGCGATCACCCATCCAGGTACTGACCAGGCTCGACGTTGCTTAAAATCGGTTATCGGGCGAGAACCGGTGTTTCAACGCGATATGTTCGTAAGCCTCAGTGACGCGTTCTTTTAGGATATGTACGATCATGGATCTCCGCAACTTCTTATCCTTTGCCGAGTTAGTGTTTTTTTATTCTCTCTTTCTAAAACCTCTTGCTGTCCGTTAATGTATCCATCACACAAGCTTGTCAAGGAAGTGGTTCACTGCCTTTCCCTATTTCACTGTATGCCCTGTCAGTGTTACGTTTTCCAAGCCCTCATCCTCATTATATGTCAAAGAAATTCCAGTTATCTCTTTCTTATTCTGATCATGAGAGTTCTGTGTGTTGCATTTCTTTTTGTTGTGTATTTTTATTATAAAAAAAATATTTAAATTTTAACATAACAAGTAATGTTATTGCTTTATATTAAACCTCAAGAAAGTGACGCATTGCGATTTCTCAAGCTAATGTTTTCTGCTGACATGAAGTGGAAAGATTATATTGAATCAATTGCTAGATCTACTGCTAGGAAAGTTGATTCACTTTGCCATGCTAAACAATCTTATAATATTTATAGGTCTACCATTCATCCATACTTTGAATATTGCTGCCACTGGTGTTTCTGCTATATATTTAGAGATTCTTGATAAAATCTAAAGAATCTGCAATGTTATTGGTCTTGACTGGCATCTTGGCTTCAGTCACTTTTTCACTGCTATAATGTAGGTTGATTACACAATGATTTACTCCTGTCTTAAGTCTGATCAGTTCAAGAAGCTCAAATTAGCACCTGATCTCAAAAGTGACCCAAAACCTGCTGTTAACTGGGGCAAGGAATGGCTTGTTAATTTTAACACCTACAAAACTGCTTTATATTAATCATCTGAGAGACCCCTTTCTGTATTTTATCAGCATGGTGGATGATAACCCCGTCCAGGAGAGTAACTTGCACATTCACAGGCTAACGTGAAATGGAAAGATTATATTAAATCAATTACTATGTCTGCTGCTTGGAAAGTTGGTTCAGTATGTCGTGTTAGACAATTTATTTCACCAGAATCTAGCTTACACGTTTGTAAGACTACCATTTTTCCATGCTTCTAATATTGCTGCAACATATGGTCTGATGCTTCTGCAATGTATTTTAAAATTCTTGATAAAATCCCAAAAAGAATCTGCAATGTTATCGGTACTGACAGAGCATCACGGTTTCAGTCACTTCCCCACCGCCGTAACATAGATTTCATGTGCCTTCTCTATAAATATTTCATAATGATTGATCTGATGAGCTTTCCTCTCTGGTACCTAGATTTTATGAATTTAAGCGCAGTACTAGATTGGCTGTAAGGTCTCACCATTTTACAGTTGAAATGGCTAGGTGCAATCGTAAGTTCTACGCTAACAGTTTATTCTTTGGCAAGGGTTGATTTGTTTGTATAACGACATATCAATAACTTATGGGTCATTTAAGGTCGAATTAAATTTTCATGTAAGCTTTGAAGTAGTAAACATATGACATTTGTTATTGTGCTTTCACAATTGAATACATGGTAGATGATACTCAGCTTTTCTGGTGCTGGTGGGTTTTCTCTTGTAGTTTTGTTGAAGTTATATTTAGAATAAAGTTAGATTTATTTAAGGAATTTAGAATATTATATGGATTAATGCCTGAAAGATCTGTCTATATTTCTGAGATGAGGCATTATGTACACTATTTACATCATTCGGACTATTGTCCTCATCTTTGTTGCTATATTTATCACAACGTTTCGGCCCTTCAGTCTCTGTCTATATGTCTGAGATGAGGTATTATGTACACTATTTTCATTATTCGGACTATTGTCCTCATCTTTGTTGCCATGTTTATCACAACAGTGTATGATCCGACCTTCTTCAGGTGGTTGGAATGTTGAACTGAACCCTTTATTTCGCTCACTGGGGTAGACTGTTCTAGTGCCATGTGTCATGACTAATGGATGTCAGTTATCTCCTGTTAACTCCCCTCAAGGTCATATGACACAGTAGATAAAGGCTTTAGTTAGATTCTGTGACAGGATCCAAATAGTGTGAGTTCAATACCTGGTTAAGGCACTGGAGAACTTATCTTTGTCTATCTTTTCTTTCCTCTTTCTTCCAGCGTCACTTTCTATCGATCTCTTTTTTATCTTCTCTTTCGACTTTTCTTTTTCTTTCTTCATTTAATCTTTACGTCTTTCTCTCTCTTTTCATCCTTCCCATGCCACTTTCTATCTTTCTTTCTCCCCGTTCTTCCTGCTTCTCTTTTTACTCTTCCCTACCTTATATCTTTCTATCTGCCTCGACCCTTTCGATTATTCCTTTCTTTCTCTTCTCTTATCTTTTTCTATCTTCTTCTCCCCTCTCATCCTTTATTTCTTTCTGTCATTTTTTTTACCTGCCTTATATATTTCTATCTTTGAAACCTCTCCTTTCTCCCGTTACTCCCGCTATCTTTCTCTCACGTTACTTTCTTTATCCTCTAAATTTCTCTTCCTTTTCCTCCCTTGTTCTTATCAATCTTTTCCCTCTCTTCTCTTCATTTTCTTTATCGCTTTCTAGAATTCACTCGCTTTCTTCGTTTATCTCTATCTTTCTTTACCTTCTCTTCCAGCCTTTACTTCTTTCGATCTTTCTCTCTCTTCTTTATTTACTTTTCATTTTATTTTTCTCTCTCTTTCCTTCTTTCCTGTATCTCTTCTTAACTTTCCCTTTTTTTCCCGCTCTTAATTTTGTCTTTTTCTTTCGTCATCTGTTTTATTTTTCTTTCGTTTACCTTTTGCTGTCTTTCTCTCTCTTTTTTCTTCCCTTATCTTTTTTCTTTTTCTTTATCTCACTTCTCTTCTATCTTTCTTTTTTCTTCTTTCTTCGTTTATATCTTTACGCCTTCCTCTCTCTTCTCTTCCTTTACTTACCTATTTCTTTCTTTCTCTTACCGTTTTCTCCCCGTTATTCACTTATCTCTTTCTATCTTTCTCTCTCTTTTCCCTTCTCTCTTTCTATCTCTCTCTTTCTCCTTTTTTTCCCTTATCTACTTTTTATCTTACTCTTTCTTCATTTCCTCCTCTTAACTTTTTCGATCTTTCTCCCATTTTTCCCCTTGTCTATATTTTTCTCTTTCCCCTCCCTCCTTCTCTCTCATTTCTTCCTTCCTTTATCTTCTACATTTATCTCACCTTCCTTCCTTTATATCTTTCTATCTTTCTCTCTCTTTTCCCTTCTCTCTTTCTATCTTTCTCTCTCTCTCTCCTTTTTTTCCTTATCTACTTTTATCTTACTCTTTCTTCGTTTCCTCCTCTTAACTTTTTCGATCTTTCTCACTCTCCTATCTTCCCTTATATTTTTAGATCTTTCCCTCTATTCTCTTCCTTCTTTTATCTCTTTCTATCTTCCTCTCTTATCTCTTCTTTCCCTTGTTTCTTTTCATTGTTCTCTCCGTTCTCTTCTTTCCTTTCTATCTCTCTCTCTCTCTTTTCTTCATTTAACTCTTTCTCTTTCATTCCCTCTTATTTTGCTAATCTTTTTCTCTCTTTCTCTCTCCTTTTTTCCTTTATCTTTTTAAATCTTTGACTCTCTTCTCTTCCTTTCATTACCTCCTTCTATCTTTCTCTCTTTTCGTTCTTCCCTTTCCTGTCTTGAACTCCCTTAACTTTTCCCCTTATCTCTTTTTATCTTTCTCTCTCCTTTCTTTCCATGTCTCTTTCTGTCTTCCTCTCTCTTCCTTTTCCTTTCCTTCTCTTTTTTCAATCTTTAATTTCCTTCTCTGCTTTCTCTTATCTCTTTCTATATTTCTCTCTCTACTTTCTTACCTTCTCTCTCTCTCTCTCTCGCTTTCTTTCTTTTCTCTTCCTTCTCTTTTCTCTTTCTTCTCTTTCTTCCTTCTCGTATCTTTTTCTTTATCTTTCACTCTCTTCTCTTTTTCTATATTTCTCTCTCCTTTCTTCTCCTGTCTCTTTCTATCTTTTTGTCTCTTCTCCTCCTCCTACTATTTTCGCTTTCTATCTTTTCTTCTCTTCTATTTTTCCTTTATCTCATTCTCTCACATTTCTTCCCTTGTCTCTACCGATCTTTATCCCCCTTCTTTTCCATTTCTTACGTCTTTCTTTCTTTCTCTCTCTTCTCTTCTTTCTCTTATCTCTTTCTATCGTTCTCTCTCTTCTCTTCTTTCTCTTATCTCTTTCTATCTTTCTCTCTCTTCTTTCTCTTATCTCTTTCTCTCTCTTCTCTTCTTTTCTCTTTTTCTTTTTGTCTTCTCTCCTTTTTTATTTCTTTCTTTTTTTTTTCAATTCTTCTCTTTATTCTCTTATTTTTCTTCTTTCTCTTCTTTTTTTTTTCTTTCTCTTTTTCTTCTCTTTTTTTCTTTCTTCTTTTTTCTCTTTTTTCTTCTTCTTTCTTTCTTTTCTTCTTTCTTCTTTTCTTCTTTCTCTTTTTCTTTCTCTCTTTCTCTTTTTTCTCTTATCTCTTTCAGAAAAAAAAACTTTTCTCTTATCTTTTCATTTTCTTTCTCCTTTTTTCTTTCTTTTTTTTTTTTTCTTTCTCTTCTCTTTTCTTTCTTTTCTTATTTTTTTTTCATTTTTCTTTCTTTTCCCTTCTTTCTCTTTTCTTTTTTTTTTTCTCTTTTTTCTTTCTTTTTTTTTCTCTTTCTTTCTTTTTTCTTTTTTTTTCTTCTCTTTCTTTTTTTTTTTTCTTTCTCTCTTTTCTTTTTTTTTTTCTTTGATCTTTTCTTTTTTTTTTTTCTTTCTTTCTTTTTTTTTTCTTTCTTTCTCTTCTCTTCTTTTTTCTTATCTTTTCTATCTTTCTTTCTCTTCTCTTCTTTCTTTTTTCTTTTCTTTTTCTTTTTCTTCTCTTCTTTCTCTTTTCTCTTTCTATCTTTCTTTTTTTTCTTTCTTTTTCTCTTTCTCTCTCTTCTTTCTTTCTCTTTTTCTTTTCCTTTTTTCCCCTTTCTCTTTTTAATCTTTCTTTCTCTCCTTTCTCTTTTTCTTTCTTTCTCTTCTTCTTCTCTTCTTTCTCTTATCTCTTTTTATTTTTCTCTTTTTTTTTTTTTTTCTTTTTT